GCTAAACAATGTAAAATTGCCTATTGATTCATGTCTTCCATTCTAGATCACCAGCTGTCAGTTCGACCAAGAAGCGTCGACGTGCTTCCGCCAAAGCTGCACTTGGGTCGACTGCTTCAACCGATTCCTTCCCCGATCGATGCTTGTTTGAGGCCTGCAACAGTTGTTCCAAATCGTGGTGCTTGTGAACGTGTGGGTGATGTCTTGAGTGGAACAAAGGAAGGACAGCTAAAGTGTTTGGAATGGAAAGCAAACCATAAAGTTAAAGCAGCAACTCGTACTAGTTGAAGGACATCAACAAAAGGACATGGTCTTTCGTAATAATACTACCATCGCTTTGCTTTGGATGCTTCCTGTTGTATCCTCATGTCAAATTCTGGCAGTGAAACCAGCACAGGCAAAAGGTTAGCTTCAAAGAGTTTCCTGGCTTTCTATGACGCTTAGCGGAAAATCAATTTGGATAAGGAGGAGGGAACGCTCCTTCAGTCGTGTGCGGCTACAGGAATGCTTGCGTTTTGGTATTGCCAGGGTGTTCCTCAAAACGTTTTAAAACTCTTTGGCGGCTGGGTCTTTAGTGAGAGGTTCAAAGACTTTGGAAGTGCTGCCACTACAAATCGCATACCAAGGAAGCCACCGCCCTGAACCTCACGAATGTCATGCATACATACTTTGCCGAATACTGTATAATGAGATATCATGAGAGAGTCTGAATCCAGCAACATCACAGCAAAATAAAATATCGCAAATATCGTCAAAACAAATATGGTCTTCTTGGTGGACACCCTCCTGGTTTTTCAAGGTGCCTCACATTTTTGAAAACGTTTGAGTCTTGGCCAATATCTCATGTGCAACTTTCTTTACACTAACATGGTGACGAGGGGCAGTTCAGTCATTCCTACACTTGACTCAGTGTACGAATGCTTCTGCGTCTCCAGGCAGCACTGAACATACTTTCAGATTGTCAGTACAGAAACACCCACAGTCCACTTAGGACAGGGGCACCAATACATGTCCAATGCGTCCAGAGATATCCCAATCTGATCCTTCAGGTGTTCATCTTGGGATGACAGAACATATCATAACATGCTAACACGATTGCTTCGGCCTCCAGCTGTTCCAGAACACCAACAACCTGTCTCCACGAGTCAACCTCGTCGGTGGCATCTTGCTCACTTTCCACGGCCTGACACAGATTCCACATCTACACAAGCGCAATAAACCATGGCATCAGCAAGATTTCAACATTCCAACCGTATATTCTGCACATCGCTTTTTGCATCTCTTACCACCCTCTCCCACTGCACCTCTCCCGCTGCTTTTCGGTGTCGACGTCCAAGGCCCATACGTTCTCGCTCCATCTCTTCTTCCATCATCTTCAGACCTAGAGTCTACAGAGTTCATCTGAGTTTTCAATAAAACATGAACTTGTAAAGGACAAGGTCACACGAAACAAACAAAGCTCAACAATTCCTCAGTTTGGAGAGAAAATGTTTAAAAAAAGAAAACATTCCCTGTCCCTGCTAAACAATGTAAAATTGCCTATTGATTCATGTCTTCCATTCTAGACCACCAGCTGTCAGTTCGACCAAGAAGCGTCGACGTGCTTCCGCCAAAGCTGCACTTGGGTCGACTGCTTCAAACCGTTCCTTGCCAGATCGATGCTCGTTTGAGGCCTGCAACAGCTGTTCCAAAACGTCGTCAACAGCATGTCGGTGATGCCATGTGGAAAGGAAGGTTATCAAGAATAGGGTCCAGTCTTTCACTTCCACTTTTCTCACGAAGTGTGCAATTCTGAAGATGACGATACTTAGCAACCACAAATTATTCTGATAATGTAGGGGCTCCAAACAAAGCATATGTTCCAAAGATTCGTCAATCTGCTTGGGCAGTTGTGAATCTTGAGAGAATGCCAATCTGATCCTTCAGGTGTTCATCTTGGGATGACGGAACATGTTATAACATGCTAACACAATGCTTCGGCCTCCAGCTGTTCCAGAACACCAACCATCTGTCTCCACGATTCAATCTCGTCGGTGGCATTTTGCTCACTTTCCACTGCCTGACACAGATTCCACATCTACACAAGCGGCATAAAACATGGCATCGGCAAGATTTCAACATTCCAACTGCACATTCTGCACATCGCTTTTTTCATCTCTTTACCACCCTCTCGCACTGCGCCTCTCCCGCTGCTTTTTGGTGCCGACGTCCAAGGCCCATACGTTCTTCCTCCATCTCTTCTTCCATCATCTTCAGACCTAGAGCTCATCTAGAAGTTTCTCAACAGCACCAGCAAAAAGGTTGAACTTGAACTTGTAAAGGTTGAACACAATTCAAACCTCTGCAACGCAAAACCAAGGGTGGACTTAAGCAAATCTCAGGGAGAAAAGCCTGCACAATCCTTTCCAGTAACTTCTCACTGGAAGCCAGCCAAATCAACACAAGCGAATCCGCACATCGATGAATCTGAAATCAAGACTCGTGACGTTGAATAATATATTGATATATTGTATATATTTATATATATATATATCGCCTTTGAAATTAGCATGGTGGACCTAGGATACCCCATTTTGTAATATAAAACGGCTTTGGGCTTACAAAATGGAAGGCGTACCTTTTTTCCAGGTATCTAGTTACTACAAAATGACTGTGTGCCACCACTGTCAAATGCTGTTTTCTTACAACATGATGATCCCCGGAGGCACAAAATAGGAGGCACGAGACATTGGACTTCTTACAAAATGATTGCTCCCAGAGACATATCTGTGCGCATGTCGATAAACTTTTTTACACATAGACATGACATAGGCACTTCATAGCATTTCAAGAATTAAAGCTACAAAATGCATGTGCTGATATGTGATGTGTGTGTGCGCTACACATTTCTTTCTTACAAAATGACGGCGCACACTTTTTTTCTATTCTTTGCTCTCCCATTTCGCTGCAATCTCTCTTGCTATGCACTTTGTTGCTCTTGCTGATGTACGCGTTGACGTCAGATCGCCGTTTGCTGCTTTTGTGAGTAGCCAGATTCAAAAGCAGAGTTTCATCCTCCTCATCAACTCCCTTTTGTTTCTGCACATAACCTTCTTTCACTCCTGCTTTCCGACCCTGTTGGTTCAAGATGCATCCAAAAGCCATCCCAAAGGCGAACAGCAGGAAGCAAAATAGACCAACTGGGTATCCAAAGACATGACGCCTACAAAATGCTAGGTCCTGCTGGCAAGAACTCTCTGAGCTACAATGGCTACAAAATGCCAGGCTTGATCTCATGTACAGTCAATTGTCAGAGTCAACCTGGAAGTGATGCTAGGCATGGCTTTTTGTAGCAGCTTTATGTCTCTTACAAAATGCAAATCCTAATTTGTCTTGGAAGTAGCCGAATCCTTACAAAATGCAAATCCTGGCAAAGTTGTCTATTACAAAATGGCATGCCTTCCACCCAGTAAGATCACCAAATGTACCGCTACAAAATGGCTCAAAAAATATTGCTTACAAAATGACACCTAAATTTTGATCCTAGGACAACCCATTTTGTAAGGGAAATTTCAACGATGATATATATATATATATGTCTATTAATACTATTTATTATGGACCGAGACCCATTTGTTGGAGCAACAGCAAGAAAAGGCTAACCTCCACATGCAATGTTTTTGCACCAGCGCCATTGGATTCCTGTCGGAAGCAACACTGGAAACAAAATCCTTGCAGCAAAGAAACGACGTGGCTCTGCCCAGGCTGAACTGCTGTCAACAGCTTCGGTCTGCCCTCCAAGCTCTTTTGGCGCCTGGAAGAGGAAAGCTTTCGACAACAGGACTATACAGGGCTTGGACCTTGGTACAGTATGTGAAAGACTTGGTATCTCATGCAGCAGTATGGCATGCATGGCATGCATCATGAGCACATCTGCATTTTAACAGATGTGTTTGCTTGTTCACGCCTCCTGAGTTCTGTTTTGCAGTTTGAGACCGTGTTTCGCTACATGTCCCCTCCTTCAAACCCACCAACCGGGGGCCTGCCATGGAAGCCATGCGGTTTCGCCCTCGACCAATGCGTCGTCCTTCAAGTCGGCAATGTCACAAACTTTCAGCGATGTGCCCGGCCTCGCACGCCTGGCAGCGAAAAAGGAGTCCGCCATCGGAGCATAAGGCCAGCCGATGAAAAAGAATCTTCACAAGTATTCAGCCCCTCCATCGTCTGAAGCGAAGAAAACGAAAAGAATGTCACCAACAATCGGCAGGACATGGCAGGACCTTGTTTCACCAAACCATCAACAGTTGGCTTGGTGGCAGTGTAGGATTTTTGGCATCGTACGGCGACCGAGAGAGCGAAACGTACATCTCGCCTTGAAAACAGCGACGTTGGCCCCTGAGTCGTGAAAATCGGTCCCAAGAGTGGACGGTGCAGTCAGATGTCTGCAAGAGAACACAGTGTGGAAAACCAGAGCTGAAGGATGCTGAAGGGTCAAGCAATTTAGTAGCAGTGGAAACAGGGTATGAGTTAGTTAGTGAGTGCACGACGGGTATGCCCCAACCCAGCAATCTTTTTAAGTTTTAGTCTAGTTCTCTTTATTCAATTCTATCATCGCTTTGCGCCTCCCGGTTCCGCTTGGCATACTCGTCTTCAAGCTGCCGAAGGCCTCGCTGGACCATCAATCAAGCAGAACAACGCCGAATCGTCCGGCCAGGAATCTAGACCCTAAAATGACGAGGGTGGTCAAGACATGGGTGTTTAATTCCCATTTCTGCTCACCTAGCAGGTGTATCTTGGTTCAGGATGAAGTCTCACAATCCTGTCCTCAACAATTTCAAGGTCCGGCTGTGCAGCTTTACCAACCGAGCTGCGTCGACGGCCTTCTGCCATCGCTTCTGCTGGATCAACCATTGCTTCACTTTGGTTCTTTTTTGGCGAGCTATCTGATCCACTGCCAGCCACTGTGATGCCCAAGGCAGCCAATTGTTCTAATCCAGAAGTCACCTGGGCGCGCCAAGCGTCGTACATCTCCTGCCAAGCCTCCGGCTCCAACAGATCTCTGGTGTCCTGGGTGAGGTGCTTCATGCCCCGTGCCGACTTGGGGACCCCAGTGACCAACTCACCATGTTGGCCAACTGCACACAAGAAGACTACACTGTCCTAGTACACAACCGTAAGGACATATAAGAACCATCATGGACCATGCGACAGGAGAAGAAACATAAAACCAAAGAAAAGTCATGAACAGTCTCAAGGAAGAAAGAAAATTGAATATCTTATATAATCTTATATATAAGAAGTTGAATTGTGCTTGATGAAACATGGGCCAAGCCACCGCCAACAGGGTCAAGGCTTCTTGTTCCTCCTCCACAAAAGCAGCAAGCGTCTCGTCCGGGAGAATCGGCCCGGCCCGGTTCTTCCGTCGCCTGCAGAGACGTTGCCAGGCAAAACCAATTGAACACAAGCGCTGGCTTTTGCTCAAAGTCCTAAAGCAAATCCAATGACACGCCATGCCTGCCACGCGCCCCCAAAGCTGCACGCTGTTGCTCCAGTTGGTCATCCAAACGAGCCAGCCGCTGCAAGGCAGCACGCAACAGCACGTGCCTCTCCGCAAGTGGCTCTTCTTACAATGACTCTGAGACCGATGTGATTTAGTGACAGTGAAAATAGTGAAAGCTACCAATGAAAATATGTAGGGACAATCTAAATGAACCAATGTTGATACTGTAAATGAATCCATTTTGGATCATAGGACATGATGTTGAAGCTTGGCAAAAGAATGCAAAAGATGCAAATGCTCGGTCACTTTGTCGGAAAATCTTCCAATCTGCCCCGATGTCCAACGGCCTTGGGCTGTTGGCATCCAACGCAGCCTGCAAGGCCCCATCCATGGCCGATAGCAAGGCACCAGTGTTGGGGTTGTCATCGGCCGCCTGCGACTGAAAAGAGTTGAATATTTTCGTTACTTCAACGAATGACCTGAAGTGAAGGATTAACACAGATATAATAGACATATACTGTAGATCATAAATTATATCTACGAGTACATAAGTCAGTTGTTGATGAATTATTGATGAACCCAGCCCAGCTTCTTCATGCTCCTTCTACTTCACTTTGTCTACAGGCCTACAGGCAGTATGCACATACCAAGTCTTACTCAGTCTTTCAGAGTTCTTGCACGCTTGGCCATGCTATGTCATGCTCCCTGGATGCTTGGAAATCGACCGCACTGACAGTCTTTCACCGGGCCGCCAAAACAATACACTCCCGCAGAAGGAAGACACTTACTTATGGTCCACCCTTGTGGACATTCAGGAAGCGTCAGTCGATTGGGTGGTTTGTCAGTCGATGGTTCCTCCCTGTTTCCAGCCTTCTGAAGTCCTTGGCTCATGCGCTCTGAAGAATCTTCACAGTTCTTCCAGAGCTGCTGCAGTCCGCTGCACTGCACCTGGGGACATTCGATGGCCTTGTGTGGCGATACCCTGTCTGCCACAGGTGAGGTTTGACTGCAATCTGAGAAGCTTAAATGGCCTAAATTCCAGAATTTCCTAGATAAGTCATCGACGTCACCAGGGAGAAAAACCAAACCAAAACGACATCGGAGGATCTTTGCAGCCGAGACTCAAAAAGTTGTTGGCACGCCGGCTCTCGCTCCGGTTCTGCCAAAGCCTGCAACTGTTATCAACACCTGGGCCTGGCTCTCCGTCGTCAGCCTCCTCCAGTTCGTTGTGAAACTGGAATTCAAGTGGTCGTCATCGTCGCCGTCACCGTCGTCATCGTCATTGTCATCGTCATCGTCCTCCTCATCCTCTCCTCCTCATCAGCAGCAGCAGCATCATCCTCATCCTCATCCTCATCCTCATCCTCCTCATCCTCATCCTCCTCATCCTCATCCTCCTCATCCTCATCCTCATCATCATCATCATCCTCCTCCTCCTCCTCCTCCTCATCCTCATCCTCATCCTCATCATCATCATCATCATCATCCTCATCGTCATCGTCCTCGTCCTCGTCCACGTCCTCGTCCTCGTCCTCGTCCTCGTCCTCATCGTCATCGTCATCGTCATCGTCATCGTCATCATCACACCTCCTTCTGTGACCATGTGTTGCCGTGTGTCACATCGTCTTTCCACTTCAGCCCGCCTGCAGCCTCTCGCATTCTGCCCAGCACTTGTTGCGTTCTCGGGCTGAAGCCTCCAGCATACCTGAGTGGAGCAGGAGAGATCAAATCCGAGGCTTCTCGAGACCTGCTGATGGGACGAAGCTCTACTGAACCTCTACCCACGATGCACAGCTTGATATGGCCCAAGTTGCTCTGATGTAAGAGGGAGTGCCCAGCAAGCACAGGCGCTGCCTGATTTTTGGTGCACAAATGAGAAGGTAGCAAAGCTTCACAACAAGGTCCCTCCAGGCCCTTTCACAACAACGAGATCTTTCTTCCTAGCAGCGATGGCCTCCAACCTAATAGCAATGGCCTCCAACCTAGTAGCGATGGCCTCCAACCTACTAGCAAACTATAAAGTTGTTTATCAAAATATTGTGGTTGACCGATGCTGACTGACCTCGCAAAGGAGTTTGCGCCGGCCTGAACACTTTTGCGTCTCCACCGCTGCAAGCCCTCTCGCTGAAGTTCCAGGCGCTCCTCTGAGAAGGAGAAAAATAGAACACAAAAACTATTGAAGTCAACAGAATGATCTTCTCTGAACTTGGATCCTTTTCACGAGAAGACCCATTCGCGTTCTGTGGAAGCTTCATGTTTGTTTCATAACTCTTCTGACCGGGAAACACTGAAACATGGCCTCCAAGCGTCCCATTCTCTTCTGAGCCGTTGCCAGAGCTTCCTCGAAGTCCTGACAGCCAAAAGGCTGGTGAGGAAGAGCCTCTCTAAATCGCCTCTCTAAATCAAAAAATTCGCTCCAAGCGTCATCCCACAATCTGTTGACCATGCTTCACTTGCACATGACGTTGAAACATCTTCCAGAAAGGCACGTGCCGTCAGACAAGTCGGTTTTCGCCGCTCCTGCTCGAGCATCCCAGGTCCAGGTTGCCACCTTGTGGATCGGGGTATATCTCCCGTCACAAATGCAATCCCCAACTAAGGTCCTTGCTCCAAGCCCTGCCATGTCATGAGGAAAATTGACAATAACTGCGACTGTAACCCGTTAGACTGCATCCGCTGATTGCCCTTCTCAAATCAGGCGGCAGGACCACTGCGGAGAAAATCTTTTCTAACCTCAGCCACATCAACATCTGGCTTTTGCAGCAAGACAACTTGGGAATCAATTGAACTTTCTTGAGTCACTGGATGTCACTGGGATTGCTGCTTTCGCAATGACTCTGCGTCAGCATTGCCAGCCTGTAAACCCGGACCATGAAGCTACATTCGGCGAGTTTGCTGCTAAAGTCGGTGAACAATTCGATAGATTTGGGATGTCGATAACAAACATGTCAGACCATGTAAATACATGGTGCCTGGAGAACATGTAGACATGTTGATTCATTTTCTTGGCTTTCTGTGCCAGGGACATTCAGCTTCTGGTGCACATCCGTGATCGTCGACAGCAAAGCGTTTCGGTCGCTCGCTGAGAGCCTGATGAAACAAAAAGACCATCAATGGCCTAGCCCTCTTCATTGCGTGCAAAACCATATAAAAACACAAGTCTTTCACCCTGGCCCCATAAGTACCGCAAAACTTCTGGCCTTGCAATTCGCTCTAAGAAGCGAGCATCTCCGCTGCCTGGTCAAAGAGGTCGTTGGACACGTCCACATGTCCAAGACACACAGATCTCACTCCAGCCTTTGCCATTTCCAAGCAAGACCTTCACGGAAGACATCGGAAGACATTTCGGACTCAAAATGTCTACTGCATCTTCACACAATCAGAATGCTTCTCCAAGCTTGCGACAGACGCAGCAGCACCAAGCCTGGCATGTCTTTACACGATTGAGCAAAAACTTGCAAAAACTTAGCAGTTTCTTGCAAGCTGCGTTCAACCCAAGAACTCACTCCTGATCCAAATCAAAACAAATCGAAGCTAGGGCCCGTGCTTCGCTGCCGCTTCGAAGCCGCCACCCTGTGCAGTTTGCGCTCATTGGCAAGTCCGATCGAAACCCTACTCATTGCTGAGTCAGATCTGGGATTCTGCGAGATGTTCTGCGAGATGCTCTGCACCCACCTGAAAGCTTTCCTGGATCGATTCAAGGACCGAAATCAGCTGATCACACTCGCCAGGTGTCAGCCTGAAAAAGAAAGTCGCACGAAGTCGCTAAGCCTCGTCACTTCGAAGTGACATCCGAGCTTGCTCGACTTCTCATTGTTTCTCCATGGAAAACCAGGCTTGGAATTCAAAGCGAGAAGCGAATCTGAACTTGGAAGCTTGTCCACTCACTTTAAAGCGGCTTCTTCCTCATCTCACTCTACGTCCCTCAAAACTGGCTATCGGGCCCAACCTGCCCGAAGGAGCGTCACCTCAAGATATATTCTGAGTCTCTTCTTGATCTCGTGCCAAAGAGGAAGAAGTAGCTCTCAGCTTGAGAAGATAGGATGCTGTTCATCTTTGTCCATCTTTAAGATACTGTTCGTTGTAACTATGAACATACTATGCCTTTTTTCATGTGGCGAGTGTTCGCTTTGCGTCTGTGCGCAAGCAACAACATGAGACACCATCTGGGGATACTGCGGCCACCATCTTCTGTGGCACCTTCAGCACCACCAGCCTCACAGAACGGCCATGAGCATGCATGAGCCACTTCTTACACACCGGAAAACCTCCCAAAAGCAGTATTCTTGTCTTATTGTTCTTGGTAAAGTAGCAACCACCTCCAATATCAGAGTTCTCGTCACCGCATCGCCCGACGCTCATCTGCTCCGATCAGCCCCCCACCTTCAGGCTCCAAGCAGGCCGAGCCCGGGCGTTCCCCGGATTCCTTCGTGCGTCCGCGTTTCGTGCCCAAAACGCAAAAACATACACAAAAAAACGAAAACGCTTTCGAATCCACAGTCTGCGGTCAAAAGCTTCCGCCTGTCTCCCTCTGCTAGCCTGCAAGACAGCAGTGCATCATGTTACCCCCGCGAAGCAGCACAAACAGAAAATACCTGCCTTCACGGCATCTTTTCCCAAAAACGGTGTCTTTTTGTGGTGAGAAATGGAAGCCCTCCCAAAGTCTTTCTCCGGTCCAACTCATTTTGAGCACTTGTTTGCAACCCTTGGGCCAGCATGTTCGTGGGCTGCAGCGCTTTTTCTAAGAAATGCCTCCGGGAAACAAATCATACGACAAATAAACCTGAAGATCCAGGTGAGATCTCCTTCCTAGTGATCGTGTGCATCATCGTGAAACTTGTGAAGACAAACACTTGGTACTGTATTTGGGCCTCTCGTCCTCAAAGCCGACCACTGCCTCGGGAGTGAACGGCACAATTCGTCTCGAGGGGTCTCGTTGAATGGACAAGCCCAAAGGGCTGCTGGCTCCCACTCTACCCGTCCGAGGTCGACTAACAGGTCGGTCGAAGGTGTTTTCATGGTTTTATGGTGACATGTGGTGAATTTTCCTGAGCCTGTAGGAAGCAATTGACCGAATACAATACTTACTTCATCTTATTTCTACTCAAAGACTGGGTGTTCCCATCAGCTTGGGGTATTCAAGGTCCTTTTGTAGTTCCTTTGGTCCTTTCGTCTCCAAATTCGGATCCCGAACTTTGGTGCCCAAGGTATCCTGGGCAGCACTGGCAGAAACAGCGTGACCGAAAGAGCAAGAACTCTTGGATAAGAACTAGTGTCCAATTGAAGCAAATACAGAATATATATATATATATTGCGCTCTTGCAAACTCTTTTGAGCAAACTGTTTTTCACTCGCTCTTCTCGTCGCTTTGCCTCAGCTTTCCAACTCATGGCTTTTTCCACGCAAAGCGATTTTCTCTTCGCTCCTCGGTGCAGTCCAAGTCGCCAAGATGCCCAAGTGTCCTGCGTAGAAACATCCCCCTTCCGTCCGTCGGCCGACTGCGTTGATTCTGTCGCAGCTTAACAAAAACGAAAAGACCATAGTAGCTTTCTTGTTCCTAATAGTAAGGCCAGAGCCCCTAGTAGTGTCCTTGCTCCTAGTAGTAAGGCCAGGAGCCCCTAGTAGCTTCTTGTTACCACAATGTTGCACGTTGACTCAGGTTGACCATGACAAGGGCCTTCGGAAGACTCTTGTACGAAAAGGACATCACAGTGCTGGGACTTGTACAATCAGTTGCTACATTGCTACATGTTTAAAGGTCTTGAGGCGTTGTATAGCATCCTTGACCATCCGGTGGAGCTGGTGTTGTTGATCCTCCAGGAAGACCAATCCTAGAAATCAAAGAATTGGAAAATATTGACAGCCTAGTTCAAACATGGGAATCTCTTCAAGAACTATGCCACCAGCAAGATCCAGTAATATCCAGCAAGTGTAAGAATATTTTTTTCCCAAATCAATGGAGACCAAAGCTCAAAAATAGCAATGGAAATCAATGGAAGTATTTCTTCCGGTTATTCTACAGCAGTGGCATCCAAAATCATTGACAATTTCCAAAATTGTTCCTTCTTTGCCGAGCGACCACCAACGAGCAACGTTGCAAACACAATATAGTGTGTAAGATTAAGACTACCTTGGTTCTGTCCAGATCCAATCTTGACTCTGGACCAGGGAAAAAGCCACGAAGCAGAGAACAATCCATGTATACAATGTATATAATTCTGTATAATGTAATATAATATCTTACACTCCCTGGAATAATCATAGATAACTTCCAGCTGTCTTGGCTGCTCTTTGTTACAAGTGGCTTTGAGGACCTTCGGCTGGCCCTCCGTCACCTCCGTCACGTTGGGCCAGCGTTTCCACCGTCCAGTGGCCCGAAGGCGGACAACCTGACGGCGTAAGCCGCAGGGTTCAATCAAGTAGCTTCTTGCTACTAGTACTAATGCCCTTGTTACTAGTAGCGATGCCAGGAGCCCCGTTCGTAGCGTCCTTGCTCCTAGTAGCGATGCCCTTTGCTCCTAGTAGCTTCTTGCTGCAAATTATTCTAATTATCCAAGTGGCATTGAGAAACCATCACTGACCGCACTGGATCGTACTTGAGTCCTTAGTGAAAACGAGGAAAACGACAAGGAAAGCGGAGAGAAAGCGGTCGTTCCTTCCTCGCTTCGACGAGCTTCGAATCGTTCCAACATGGCGTCGTTCCTGGTTGACAAGCTCTCCTTGTAGCCATCCATTCTCTAAGGCAAGCGTGCCCCGGTGGTGTATACCTCTGATCCTTAGTTACCACCAGCATAGTGGTGCTGTGTTTTCTCCAAAATCCGTGTCTTCAGTCACTCATCACTCATCATCGTCTGCAGACAGGGCGCTGGTCCTCAGGTTGGCCAGTACGGCTCTGCACTTCCGAGTCAACAGAAAAAACACTCAGAAAAACCTCTCAGCTCCGCTCAAACTCATTGAACTCCAACTGGTTCGAAGCATTGAGTCCAATCAGGTAGGACATCCTCAGCAAGTGCAGCCAGTGCATGCCAGTGCTGTGCAGAAGCATGTGCAGAAGCATCTCACTAAGTTCCTCAAACCATGCATGCACTGCACAACTACAGCACACCATATATATATATATATGTTGGTAGCCCAGCCTTCCCTGCGGTCCACGCAGGCCTTTTCTCCTCATACGCTCGGGCATTAAAGTCCCTGCGACATGCGATGATCGTTCCACGATCGACACGGCACAGTCGAAATCAACATTCCTTTTACTTTTTAAAAGAACGTCGAATGCCGCTGCCAGGGATGACAGTCTGGTCCGGATCTTCGATTCCGCGGCTGTTCATGTAGTGAACAAAATCCTTGAGGCCGGCCAAGCCACTCTCGCAGTGGCTAATGCAGAACTTGCGGTATCCTGCCATGGACTCGTCCTTGCTCTCAAAGACCTCACGATAGGTCTTGACATCCTTAAACTTTCCGAAGGACATGTAGCATTGCCCCCACTGATCCAAGGAACTAATCCCTGGAGGAAGCAAAGCATCCGGCACCATGATCTTGTTCTTTCCCCCGCTCGAGGAGGGCATTGGACCAGGCAATTCATTCTCCAAGCCGGCATGGTAGGGTGTTCCAGCGGAGGCATAGCCATGGTGATGCTCATCACGGAGCCTCTTACTCCCGTCCGACATCGTTCCAGAGGGGGAGCGATTGGTAGGCTCAGGTCCATCATGGATCAAGTCCTCAGTGTCAATCACCTGTTGCCACACGGACTTCCAAGCTCCAAGGCGTCGAGCCTTCAGGATGAGGCGGGCACATTCATCGTGCTCCTGAGGAAGGAACACTTTGTCGCTCTTCATGGCCATAGCTACGGGCTCTCACAGTGGCAACTCAGCCACTGAACACTTCGAACACCTAACGATGATCATTTGATCACCTGCTGACAAGCGGCATCAACACATAACCCCAAAATGGAGGTTGGCAAAAACAAGTGCGTGTCTCAAGATGCAGGGCTAATGACTGTACAGGAAAACAAAAACGAACGTGTGTGTGGAGACTTCGCAAGGCGGCTTAAGAAGTGAACTAGCTCACACAAGAAAACACACGAATCCCCTACGCATTGACTACCGAGTGTTCACACTCTTCCCCAAAACAAGCAATGCTCGATTCAGTGCTATTGTGCAGAGTTTTCCTCCTTGGTTTCCTCGGCAAGAGGAGGTGGACCCTTCGATGCAAACTGTTTTCGACGATCCCTCTCTTGTGCTCGGCGTTCCAAAACCAGATTTTCAGGACTTATCTGGTAGCGTGCGGTACGGAGACAAGCACGAATGAGGTCTAGGGCCTCCGGGCTTTCCTTCGTGAGTCCGTCGGCTAGCATTCTGTCTGTGGGGATCCATCGAAGCTGAGACTTTGTCCGAAAAACACAATCCCTCAAGATCACAATATCTATGGCCGTTCGCCGGTCGTCCAAGGTAGGGGAAGAATTTGAGATCAGGTGGTCATAGAGAGATTTGCAGTCGGTGATCAGCATGGTCAATCTGTGATCGACTCCGTTCCACAAGCTATGCGCAAAGCGGGGACCGTCCAGGGCCTCCGACAGCAAAAGGTTAGTCCACTCTAGCATACTCGATGCAGTGGCCATACTCTGGGCTTCAGCGCTCAGGGTTGAGCTGACAACCCTTGGCAACCTGTGGCTTTTCCAGTAAGCCGGAGTCCAAGGACTATCAAGACCTGAGTTGATCCCTTGATGAACAAAACTAACCATAAAACCAGCTTGGGTGGAACCCGATCGGCCGTTAGCGAAAGCGGCATCCGAGTGACACATGAGACCCAATTCAGACGGTGGGATGTGGCTGAACCTAATGGCTAAATCTGCGCGTTGACGGGCCCGTCTTACGGCATGGTTTGCTGCAATAGCATCATTCACTGTCGGTCGTGGGAATGATTGCTGTGAGAATGATACTTGAGTTGACAAGTCGGGTCTTGATTGCGTCGATAGCCAGTTAAGGCTTCCATTGATAGCTCTCAAACAACTTACCTCTTTTTCATTCAACAAGGCTTCACGGGTTCGTGATCGATCACGGGACATGTGCAGGGGTTTTACCTTCTGAACAAACCTTTCTTGCTTCATGATGATTTCGAAGGTCTTTGGGTCTTGAACATATTGTGCACCACAGAAATCACCATTCTGAGTACGCCACTTGCGAAACTCAAAAGTCTGTTTCAGCTGAGCGATGGCCTTTCTATAGCCAGCACCACACCCTCCTGTCACACAATCGTCCACATGAACACCATAGATTCCTGTCAGTTTTCCGTTTTCCCGAAAGTAGAAAAGACATGAATCGAAACGAGACCGCTCGAAACCGATTGCAATCAATTCGTGACTCAACTTCTTATACCAGGCAGCTGGAGAGTCATTCAATCCGTACACATGTCCCAACACTTCTATCAAGGCTCCATCTGGGATGCCAGGGATACCCCCTTTTGGCAAAGAGGCGTACAGCGGCTTGTAACGTTGGGGGAGGTTCCCGGCAGACAGGAATGCCCCTTTTATATCCCCCAACTGCATCTCCCATTGGTGGCTGGCCAACAATTGGAAAATCAAGTTACGACCAACCTGGGACAGTGTGGGACTCTGGAGGTCTCCAAGCTCAGCCTTGGCTGTGAGGTCTGGGTCCAAATGGCCCTGAAGGCACCAACGAGCTTTGAAGCGAGGGGCGGCATCGTCTTCAACTTTCAAGGTCATCACATACCGACTACCCATGATGCGATGGCTCAGGTACCTACGAACGTCATCAGCCTCAGTACCAAGCACTACCCGACCAGCATGCTTTCCTTCAATGGTGTTCCATTCCAACAGCTTGGCTTCATCTACTTTCTTCTGAATCTCCGGAGGGTTACCGGTTACCGGAATTTCTTTTGCGGCTTTCTTTTGCATGTATGTGGCAACAAGCACTTCACAAGGCATCCCCTGTTGAAACAAAGACACCAGTTCTTGTTTGGCACTACGGTCGAGACCATCATGAACGTCACCCATAGAGTGGCTTTGAAGGAGCTCTACCGAACAAACACCAATCTCATCCATGGCAAAAGTGGCACTCTCAACTAACAGATCTTCTTCCATCTCATGGGGGCGTTTCTCAACCGGTTCAACATCGGCATCAGCCGATTCGATCGATCGTTTCGTCCCTCGACTCGAACTCGACGATGATCCTTCGATGGTTGGTGGCGGATCTGTGAGGTCCGGACTACTGCATGACTCTTTCTGCAAGACTTGTTGGAGAAGTTCAGGCGCGATCTCTTGCATCATATCTTGAAAGTCCTCTTGCGCCATTCGTCCCGGACGATACAGAGCCATTGGGCCATCCTTTTGACCAACGCGCCGTCTCGGCGGTCGGACAGGGCCATATGCAGCCTCTTGAGGCGACACAACACTTGGTCCGCTGCGGGCCTGTGGATCCAGCTCCATTGGGCTTTTGTCGATGAGCGGTGGCGGTTCTGGGGATTCACTCTCCTCTTGTGGCGGTGCATTCACTGGAAATGGACCGAGGCGAGGTTTTCCATGCTCAGCAACGGAAGGCCGGTCGACCAAGGCCGGTGAGCTACCTTCTTCAACTTCAGGCTCTACCCCAGGATATGACTCGGAGGTCAGGTCTACATACTGCCTACTTTCAAGTTGGTGTGATTCGATCAAATGCTTGATACCTAGGAATTCCATATGGGGAGTTTCGGTCAGCTTGAGTTCATCCTGAGTAGATGGGCGAATTTGCTCTGGGGCACACCGGAAAATCTGTCTTTTATGGATGATCACTAGGTTACGACCCACATAACCCAACACGAGTGCCGGACCACACCATCTTCCAGTCTTATCCAAGGAACCATGAACCCACTTTTGTGATCGCCAGTAGGCGACATGGGTTCCAGGACTATAGGTGTGATGCACACGAGGCCGGGCGGCCAAGGCTTGGCGAAGCGCCTTGCTATCTTGCAAATCGAGCACTGCTTTTCGAGCAGTTTGTCGGATTGCAACTTGCTTGGCAACAGCTTCGTCATACAAGGCCGAGGTGGCAGGTACGATCTCTAGAGGTTCATCAAGCAAGTTCTCAGGCACTCTAGGGTTCTTCCCAAACACGAACTGAGATGGCGTCATACCATACACCTGGATTAACTGATTTTTACAGTGAGCTGCATTTACACAGTCAAGCCATTCAGTTTGGTTTCGGGGTGCATGTTCGGACAAAATCTTGGTGAGCACTCTGCTAAACCAACCCCCGTGAACCTCAGTCTTACCTAGCTGCCAGTGTGCATCGCCAGCAGTCAGCTTGAAACTTGCTCCTCCCTGCTCAAGCACGGCAGTGAACGCATCGGCCACGTTGGCGCGTGCCGGGTCACACACAATCTCTTGTGGCATACCTGCCCAAGACACCCATCGTTCCATGAACGCTTGCTTGATGATATCGGATGTCTCACGCTTGAACACTGGGACCATGATTTGCAAAGAACTGGCTTGGTCGACAATGTTGAGGGCTGGAACCTTTTGATTGGTCTCCCACCCAGGCAAATACTTGACGTCAATCCCAACAACAGCATTAAACTCCACAGTTCGATGGACCTGAGCAGGCAAGGCTACCTTGGGTGTCTTCTGGGCGAGACACAGGTCACACGAGAACCGATGTGCCGCTTCCAGAGCGGCCACGGATGCGCCCCCATGCTTGAGGACTCTTATAAGCTGTTGATTTGTAGGATGACCAAGGTTATTATGCAGTCGACGAAGGCTGTCTTTGATCTTGGCTTCATTGTCTTCTTGATTCAGGTCCTCAAGCGTGTGAGCTACTAGGCATTCGGTGGAACAATCTGATTGGACCACCAGGCCAACTGTCTTAGGAAGTCCCTTGGTCACACGAAGGACGGCTCTGACAAATGCCGGTGTGTATTTTGCTGCAAATTTGCTGATGGAACCTATCTTTGGCCAACTTCCGGCTATGCTCTGGTGATGTTGGTGATCCGTGTGAGTGGGACCAGGGCATTTCTTACCTAGGCATCTCATGTCGGCATGAGAAACTGCTAACCTAGTGGCTTTGCGGATCAGAGAGCCGCCTGGAACACGAAGGCCGTAACAGCACATGTCTACGAACACGGAATGCAATCGTGATTGAAGCTTTTCCATACATGGCATCTTCCAAGCAATGGAGTCTTGAGGGTGTTCGAACAGGCACCTACCTCCCGACACTAGTTGGATTTCTATCAGCTGGCAACAGAAGCGCACGAACAGCTGAGTCCATGTTTCCCTGAGTCGCACCTCGTTTGGATCCATGTGCAAACGATTGAGGTGCCACCAGCCCCCTGCCCACGTGCATGGCGGGCACAACACTAGCAAGTCAGGTGGATTGGTTCGAACAAGTGTCAACATGTTTTCACGATCACTCTTCCGACGAAAGTCCCATCCCGTGCTAAGGTCAGCTGACAGAACACGATACCCTCGAGTTGCACCCTCTAAGGCGAACCGTGGTGGAGAGAACACCTCAATGACATGATACCTATCATGCGACACCTGGTCCTCCCGCTTGGGCACCTTGACTTGTGCCATCAACTGTCGGTGCTGCTTGGCAGTCCACTTAGTGACATGAAGCTGCTCGATCTCCTCCTGGGCATAAGCAATCGACGGCAGGACGGCATCGGATCGGAGTCGAAAGACGGTTCTCCCCGTCCATGGTTGTTCACCGAGTACAGCATGTGCAGTGTCAGGCTCAAACCATGAATCCCGATGGTCCCAAGGCAACGGCGGCGGAGTATCGAACTGGGTTGTCCGCTCCGGTTGAAGCATTTCGACATCAACGGGGCATTGTGTGCTCTGCGGGGTAAACAACCTTTCCCGGGGTTTAAGATGATGACGAATGACCAAACGTTCACGGGGCTTCAACTCCCAAAAATCCTTCTTACGGGCATGTTGACGATTGAAAGCGACCGAGTGGCATGGTTGAGCTGCAGGCTCAACGGAGTCGTGCACTGGCTTCAAAACAGGCTGCGGAAACAATTCGGCGGCATTCTTCGGAAAGGCCGACACATTCACAGCATACTGTCCTGCGGCGTTCACCTCCAACGGAATCTCAACCCGGTCAGAAAACAGGGTCAGCTTGTCTTCTCCGAAGTTCATGGAGGCGCCCAAGGTCTTCATTGCTGGCCTTGACAGGAGCAGCGGGGCTGATCCCTTCACGATAGCAGCTTTCACAAAACCAGGGCGTCCAGCTAAGACCACTGGGAGATCGATCATATGAGAACTCACCTCCAGCTCACCGTTCCCGAATCGGAACTGGTTGGATTCCTTTCGAAGGGGTGGCTCAGGAATGCCACGTCGAGCCCAGATCTTCTTAAAGGACTCGAGGGTGTCATGACCAATGATTGTCTTCCCACAGCCACTGTCCAGGATGGCGAACCCTGGACTGCTCACCAACAAGACCTCATTGGGCAGCTCCGGACAAAGAGCTGCAGTACACACAAAGTGCTCTGCTGGGCTATCCACTACCTGGACGGCGCTGGCTGCATGACTGGTGGATGTCGTTGAAGCACTAGCAGGTTGCGACTTGCACTCACGCTGCCAATGTCCCAGCTTACCACATCGTCGGCACCGGGTACGTTGCTTCAGCTCTTCGACTTGAACACGGAAGGACCGCTTGAAGTCCTTACCACCAGCAGTCTGGCCACGGCGGGTGTCAGAAGCAATGAACCTTCGGCCCTTTTGAACTTGGTTCAACTCGGAGCGTCGCTCCTTCCAGGTCGTGGCCAAGATCTCAGCGGTGTCCTCTTCATCCAACTCTTCACCCGTCAGGTGAGGCTCACCTGACTCTTCATAGCCGTGCTCAGCCAGAAACAGCTCAATGTCTTGCAATGAATCCTCCGGCTCAACGGGACCGGAACCCGCTTCTTCCACAACATGGGCCCCCACTGTACGACGCTTCGGCATGACATAGTCCGGGAAGCAAGACCTCATGGCCTGTGACAGCGTATCGAACTTCAGATCGCCTTGGGCTCGTGCTAGGCAGATAGCACGATCGGCTTCAGCCATACCGGACTGGTTCAGCAGGATCCATCCTCGGGCCTCTTCTGGGAATTTTACGCCAGTCTTGCGAGCGCATTTGTCGAAGCACTCACGAGCACGGGCGCACCACTGACGCAAAGTCTCTCCTTCTTTTGCCCGGAGAGCGAACACTTCAGCGATGTTCTCGCCGATCTCGTCCGTGCGATCCAGCTCAGGCCATCGCCTGTCAAGGAGCTTGAAGATGACAGAATCACCGCCCTTCACCTGGTAATCTTCTTCCTTCAAATGCTCCACCACTTCCAGCGCTTTGCCTGACAGGAGAGTCCAAATGAACGAGCCACGTGCAGCCTCATCCAGTTTATCCATTGTTCGCATCTTGTTGACCACCCACTGTTTCCACCGTCGATATTCACGGTGGTCACTGTCCTCCCCCGAAAAGTATCGGAGCGAGGTTCCAGCCTCCATGGCAACCTAACGGCACAGTCGAACGCTCCGGCCCGCTTCCAGCGAACCAAGGAGCAGGAGACAGGATTTGTACCTGCTCCGCTACCAATGTTGGTAGCCCAGCCTTCCCTGCGGTCCACGCAGGCCTTTTCTCCTCATACGCTCGGGCATTAAAGTCCCTGCGACATGCGATGATCGTTCCACGATCGACACGGCACAGTCGAAATCAACATATATATACAGTATAACTTACCAGCAAACAATGCATGACTGCCATGACTGCACATGAGATTCTCGTTTGATGCCAAAGGTCGAAGGCTGGTAATGCCACTCACCAATAACGATGCTGGAAATCTTTGAGTCCTGCTCAATCCAATGATGCATCTTGCCAGCAAAACCGAGCAGAGAACGAGATTGCAAAATTAGTACCAAGCCGGGCCGCCCTTCACTCGCAAATGGCTACAAAGGAATAAGTAAAGTCCTCGTCTGCTTCCAACCTGACGAACTTTCAGCTAAAAAGTTCCTACAAAAATGCTCTGGCTCGAAGAAAGAAACCATCCTGACATCATTACACATAAGCAAACATGACATCAGGAATGATCAGAGCCTGTTCTGCTTGATGGGATCAAGCATTCCCGAGAGGCATCGGGTGGGGCTGCAAAGCGGCCGCAAGGTACATCGCCTGCTGAACCGCCCAGTTTCAACAAACGCAAACCAAACGAAATGCTCAAAGGAGGGCACAAGGACGACATCACACATCACAGGATGCCAATTACCAAGGCTTGCCAAGTGGCTGAAACAGACGTGGAACCCGCAAAGCACACGCCATCGTTCCAAGCGCTGCCCTTTTAAGAGGGGAATGTGGGTGATAGGATTATTGGGTTATCCTTCCCTTTCTTTTCAAGTCACCACTACTGTCAAGTCCCCAAGAGTCTGAAAACAGGTCGCACAAAGTGATACAGAGTGAAAGCTGCACGGTTGGGTGCACCTGATTGATAGTGGGAGCATGAGGGAGCTAAGTTTACCCGACTTGTGGCGGCCTCATGTCAACGCAGTTAAAGTCTATGCAGGTTGGAAGTTCCTTCTACCGAGCGAATAAGACAGTATGAACTCTCGCATGCAGTGGCTGCAGGTGCATATCACAGATTCATGCATGAGCATTCGTGCAGCAAACGAAAGAGTAAAGACCCACCGATGCGTTCAACATGTTACTCACATAGCTCAACAGTGTCCTTGTCGACGGCTTCCCTCTGGTCCTCTGAGACTGCCAAATCATCCCCTTCGCATCCTGTCAGGTCTTTTCGATGGGTTTTGATGGAGAAATGTCTCTGTGTGTGATCATTGAGTGGATGCAGTCAAGACGTCAAGACAAGTACTGAAATCGCTGGAAGGGTTGCATCTTTAGGAAACAAAAGATATAGAAAGATATAAAGTCTGCCAACTCTCAGTGTTTTCCCTTGTGCTGTTGTTTCTTTCGCTGTGTTCTTTTCTTTTATTGATTCAGGAGATCCGATTGGGTTCCTTTTGCCTGTTCACTTTAGCAAGAAGGGGCGAAGTTGTCCGCATGAGCACAGGAAAGATCTGTTTCATGTACAGATATAGCTGAAAGTGTTGTTGTCTGGGTATAGCCCCCATATCCAGGCCCTCAGATCCCGAATACAGAAGGTATAATAAGGCTAGTTGAAGAATGTCCATGAAACGAATCATGAGTTGCCCCAAACACTGCTGACTCAGCTGACTGAAAGTGTCGTTTAGAGGGCAAGTTGCTTTTCAGAGGAGAAGCAAACAAATCCTCGTGTCGCTGTCCTTGCAGCAGATTCTGCTCTTGCTCTGCAGCTTGCGCATGTGCCTGACAGGTGAAATCATCTCAATTGGTCTGCCATCCAATTCTACACGCGTCGACATGCAACGGTCACATCCTGCCTTCGTGATGTCTTTCTGAAGAGTCTGCCAATGCTGAAGAAGATTTCTCCACTCCTGGCCGTCTGAAGGTGAAGAAAAACTTCCACCCGAAATGCGTCAGCTGTGGCACATCCAAAACTGTGCAGATAAAGCTTATTCCTTTTTGGCCCACCCTTGCTTAAGTAAGTAGGTGCCTACTCAATTAAGTTAAGTAAGGGAGTAAGCTCAGGGGGACTAGTTAGCTTCTAGCAACTGGACGCAGGATAGTTCACGCTTCTTCAAGGAAGCTCCGCCCACCGCCCTAAAGGCAGTGGGGAGGTGCTTCCTTGAACAAGCGCTCGCATTAATGATTTGCTTCTTAGATTCTTAGGGAGCTGACGCAGACCGGACGGGTTGAAGAGGACACTATCTCGATGCATTCGGACATAACCTAATGTTAGAACGATTCACAAATATTCACAGTAATTATCTGACTCTTGGATTCACCGGCCAAGATTTTGAACCTGTCGCCAAGCCGACTGTGCGCATTCCTTGGAGGCTTTCCCAGGGCAGGAGCCGTTGGGAAGGTCCGGAACGACTTGAACAGCTTGAACAGCTCTTGTAAGAGCCGACCAGTGGCGAAATGCATCCAAGCATTGGTCGGGACAAAGGCCGAACGTGTGCCGACGGGCTGAAATTCATCGCCCATAGGCCAGTGCGAATTACACGGGTCGGTCAAGTGAAGATGGTGGACACGGAGTGTTTTGTTCACATCTGTCCATGATGTTCACCAACATGTTAAGATGTTCACCAGCATGTCCGCCATGAACATGCTCTGCAAGAAAAGGATAGGGATGATATGGAGGCCATTCTGTCCCCCTAATGTACCACTATGCTTCCATGAGACACCATGCAAAAAGAACCTTTGAAAGGAAGCTGGAAGTAGTGGCCAAGAGCATTGGTGGCCCACCTACTAGCATTCAGCCTGCTGTTACCAGCTCTGTTGGCTAATCAATCACAGCTTTGTTCCATGATGGTTTTCTTCTAAAAAGTCATGATGTGGTTCCACCACCGAAATCTTCACTCTGGAGAGTGCCTGCCTCTTGCGTGCAGGCCACCTCTATCCAGCTTCGGAGCACAGGAGGCCGGCGGAAACCGGATGGTCATCACGGCGTAAACGCATAATACTTGGTCTGGAGGCTTTGGGGGGGGCGATCCATGTCTGTCGTCTGTGAGTAATCTGATCATGGCTGGCTCATCACATCTGGATACAACTGCTATCACAGTTGTCACCTCCTGCTTCTGGGGCGCTCATTGGCAGCACCCTTGGCTGTCCGAATCATAAGGTGTGCGAATTACGAGTGGGTCCTTTACGGACTTTTCTGGCACTCGTTGACACTCGTCAATGCAGGATACGCAGAATTAATGCAGGTTTTCTCGCAGAATTGTCACCTTGTTTTATTCTTCAACAAATGTGCGTTTGCTGAGTATTGGTCTTCACATCCACGACGAGTGCTTTTCCGAGTGTTTGAACTTTGCAAGGCAGTGCGAGCAGAGCAAAGCCTTCAACAGCGGAGCATGTCGCACTTTCACGCAGGTTCCGATGTGAGACTCAATTCGACATGTTCCAGCTGCCCTTAGGCTGGAGACAGCGCAGGTACACCAACAAACGAGGCAAGGACCGCTTTTCACACAGGTTGGCTGAACCCTCTGGCCTGACTTATGGTGTCATTATACATCTTGGATCATCACGTCAAATGTCAATTCTCAAAAGTTATCAAAGAAAATCAGTTATCATCTTGGCATTCAAAGAAGCCCGGCCATCGATTCTGCGCCGGTGACATCGCTGGTCTCACATGTGCATCAGCCTAAATCGGCTGGGAAAAGCAAAGACGCTGATTCGGGTCGGACTATCCATCTGCAGACCACATCAAATGGATCATAGAAGGCGAATGAACAATAGAAACATCAGTTCGAACATAGAACCATAGAACGGTCTTTTTGGGTCAGGATCAAGACCCTTTCGACACAGCTGTTTTGGAACATAGGCCAAAGTCGGCGGAATAGTCGATCGAATGAGTCCAAAAGTTGTGCGTCTGTAGATGGGCCACCCTCAGTTGATATCACTTCAAGATGTCCTGGCACATACGAGTGGGCACGACTCAGAATTGCAAAAGACCAGTGCTCTTCTCATGACGGGAGTTCCCCACTTGCCGCATGCTTGGTTAAGGACTGCCTGTGGAAACATTCTATACTTGGAAGAACTTCTCAAATTAAGAGCGCCATCAAGACTTACACGATGACCGAGTTTAACTCTACAACAGAAGGTGTCAGAATATATACTTTTTTAATGTATGCAGCTGGGGTGGACAGGTGTTGACAAACCTTTTACGACCAGGACGGGGTGAACATAGAGAAAAATTGTTCCCTCGGTGTTTCTGGAAACACCGGTTCCAGGATATGTCTGAACTGAAAGGTAAGGAGGAAATGTATGCATAGGGGAGGGGACACACTCACCTATGCACCTCTACATTTCTTTGTGAAACTTTTCTCAGAGCCGAACGCCTACGCGGCGATCTTATGAGAGTCATCTCTCAAGTGAAACATGTTTCCAACTGCCATGCTTGTCATGACATATAGCGGAGAATTTCTTCACCCCGCCAAAGCTGTAGTCACTGAGTTTTCTCAAGTGACAAAGCTTTCCACAAGTGCGGGTAAAATGGCGATGAGCCGCCGCCTATTAAGAGGGGTAGCAGGCCCTGGCTTGTTCAAAATCACTTGCTTAGTGCAGACAAGGGACTTGGGGATTGGAAGCTCGGATGTCTCAAGCAAATGGAAGAAATCAGCACAAGGCTGCAGCTCCCCAGGTGTCAACAGCTGCAACTCATATGTACGCCAGCCACCGAGACCCGGTGCGGCATGAGGCTTGCGTTTCTGGACGACGCGAAACAAATCATGCCCGGAAATCTCAGGGATTTCAGCTTCGACCGTCTTATTTTAGATATACGCCCAAATGGTCTCCAGCATTTTGAGCGGATGATCGGCCAAAGCATTGATATTATCGTTACTGTCAACCACGAGGTTTGGTGGCTCGTCTTGCTGCTTGTTTATCAGGCGTTGGAAAATGTACGAGCGCCCAT